ACTCACTCAATTTTGTGCAATACTGATACACTTTATATTGCTGGCGTGGGGTGAGGATTGTGGTTTTCCGAAGTGGGTAGCTGCGGTGATGATTCCTCAAAATCTCTTCATGATCATGCTATTCGGCGATTTCTACTACAAAGAGTACATAAAAAAGCCTAAGAGTACCCCGAACGTTATTACATCGAACGAGAAGTTAAAAAGTCAATAAAAAATTTTGTTTTTATGCGTTTTTCAACATTATTGTTCAATCTGTGAGGGGTTACATATCGGAAATCAGTTCATCATATTATAGTTTAGACATTTATATTATCATCCATCACTATTTGGCGATCTTTTATTGAAAATATACAATAGGAATGAAATGATATATATATTATAGGTTAGGTGATTTTTGTATATTTTTGTATTAAATATATTAAAAATTTTCAAAAAATATTTACCAACATCAAAATATAACATAAAATATTAAAGACAACTTTTTTTTTCTCTGATATAATAATAAAAAAACAAAATTTCGTTCCTATATTTTAGTTTTGCTTTAATAGATACGTTAAACGAATTTATTTTAAAAATATATTTATTGTTTATATAATTATATAATTATTTACATAAAAATGATATTATAAAAATTTGATATACGATATTATAAAAATTTTTTAATCCTATTTCACGACTAATTAACTATATTCTTATGGACAGTAGTGACTATATTCTTATGAACAGTAATGTATCAATATCGAAAATAATATAATGATTCAAATATTATAAAATTATTTGATTCATAAACCATCGTGATATTCTTTCATAAAATTGATCAGAATTCAGCATAAAGTTTTTTTATTTCATTTTCTGTTGAAACTTATTCAAATAAAAAATGCTCTATAATATGTTCTCTATAATGAAAACGATAATTCTTGGTCTTATTTATGTATTTACATTTATAAAATTTATATTATCCTCAATTATTTATCAATATCTTAAGCAATAATTATACGTAATAATTGCGCAAATTTTGGTAAGTACAAACGTAATTATTGATATATAAAATTATTTTCTCTGTTTAACAAGGTTGTCAGACAAGGACTATCCTCTTTATCACTAAAAGTAGCTCAATTGCGCGAATTTCCACAGGAGAAGAATATGTAACGTCACATTATCCCCACTGTTATTGTTGGATGTATCACGTGACTAAACTTCCGCTAAAACCAAATATCGCGTGACATTGATTCTGCCTAATCTAGCAGTGGTAATACGAATAATGAGATTTGAATTCTGTTATGCAAAATAATATAATATATTCTGTATATTATGCAAAAATTTGTCAAACAAGAATTAATTAATACTTTTAATGATAGAGAGAATAATAGACTTTATTCATCCAATAATTTTGCAGAAAAGATAATTAGACTACGGGAATTTAAAGAAAATTTAAATTTAAACGTACAAAAATTTAGAATGCATATATAATATCCTAAATGACAAAATGTAAAATGTAAAATACATTTATTATTTTTTATTTAAGTTCCATTTTTTTATTTGTATTCAAAAAAATTTTAAAGTAATTATGTAAAAGTATATAATTTTTTTCTACGTTGTATGTTATGCTGTCTTGTTGTAATTTCCGAAATATTTACAAAATTTTTTGATAAACTTTATTTATAATTATTTATAATTGTTTTGTTCATGTATCGTATGAAACGTATCTTAAGGTTATTAAAATCGATGAAATGAAATCACACTTTTAAATATTATATTTAAATTTGCTTAAAAATTCGCATGACAATTATAACAATGATAATATTTATGCTAGAAGCAAATTCAATACGACTTCTAACAATTGTGATATGCACACATAATTTCACTAATTTGAAACATCTTTTTTATTTGAAATCAATATATATTATTATTTGTAAATAATACTTGTAATAAATAAATAATTAATTGTTCAAGATATATATGTATAATCATTTATTTGATCATGTATTTAACCATTGTCATATAAGAAAATTCACCTAACCTAAAAATATTAATAAAAATTGATATGAATATAGAAATATAATAAATTATTCAATTTTTTTTCGATAAAAAATCTTTTTTAAGAAGATGAAATTAATATCAAAAGTTTCAACATTTTTTCATGATTCGAATATAATTTTATGTGAAATATTTTTTTTTTTTTTTACAACAGAATAAAAGAACATTACATTTTGAACATTTAATTTAAAATGTTGCTCTATTTTATACCAATGTAAAGTTATATTTAAAAAAAAATAAAAATGTATTGAAATATTGATTTCATGTTAATTAATTGTTTCTTAAAATAATATTTTAATAAAAAAAATTGCTTCATTCAACATTGTTTTATATATTCATATTTTTTTAAAAAATGAAAAATTGTTCACATTTCAAAAATAAGGAAATATTCAAATAAATTCATAAAACATTATATTTACTGAAAAAGTTAGTTAAAAAATAAATTACTTAAAAATTTTAATAATAAGTTATAAAATTAAGTTATAATATATTTACATTATAAATTTGCTAAATAAATGAATATGAAAAAAAATCAATATATATAATTTACTATTTAATTTAAAATTTTAATTAATTTAAATTAATTAAAATGGTAATGTAGTCGATCACATGATGTAATAAAAAATTATTTAATTAATTAAAAAGGATTATTAAGAGTTATTAAGAATTATAAAAAAAATACTTATAATATTTAAATAAGATTACGTTTTAAGATTTATAATTTAAGATTACAGATTTATATATTATAGTATTTAATATAATTATGCAAAATATACTTAAAGATATAATTTATTCATTCAATTTATTCAAAGATATTATTATAAGATAATTAAAGCAAATTAATTTTTCTTATAATTATAATGAACATTGTAACCAGTAAGGAAGAAATCAATAAATATATTCAACTTTTTTAGCAATGATATTTTATATAATCCAATAAATATAATCCAATAATCCAAATATATATAATACTTATTGTTTCGATCTTAATTTTTAAAAATTTCATTCTTTCAATAAAGATAATAAAGCTATCAATTTTTTATTTATTTATTTATTTATTTTAAATTTATAAGCATCATCGAATATATTAAATCGTAATAAATGAACAAAAAAGAATGCAAATAAATGAAACTATTATTAAGGATTAAAATAACAATAAAGCAAATAAAATATGAAAAAAACAAATTATCATATCTTGAAATTACAGTATCACGTTCTGAAATAATACAAAACTAAACAATTTTTAATTCTTATAAATTATCAAAAACAATTATTAAATTTATATATATTATAATATTATAATAATTAAATGTATATAAATGTAAATATTTCTCAAATTAATGATTTTTCGGTAATAAGTTAAATAAATTAATACTTTTTTGAAATATGACTAAAATGCAAATGAGTCAAAAATAATATAACCATTAACCATTAAAGAATGCATTTCTCTGTATTTATTATATATTTAAGAAAGCAACACTTATAAACCTTTCCAGCATATCAATCTACAATTAATTGTATGAAATATTTAATTTCTTATTCCACATGTAATAAATATGATAAGATCATTATTTTCCAACAAATGATCTCAAGTATTACTTTTATTTACATTGTATTTTAACCTAATATATTATGGAAAAAAATATGGAAATAAAAAAAAAAAAAAAAAAAGAATAAACGTAAGACTGAATCAGGACTTGTTCGAAAAAGTTAACCTACTTTATCTGACACTTTAATGGATAATCAACAGTCCGAACGAAAGGTAAAACTTGTATGGAACAGGCACATAAAAATGTGCATTGCCGTTACACCATGCTTAAAAATATCTATATCGATTATTTTATTTATAAAAATTAAAAAATAAGATTCTGTTCTTAATTAAGATAATTTATTTAAAATTTTGAAATATATATATAAAATAAAAATTGAAAATTTTGTTTTATTTTCTTTATAATTATAAAATTATTTCTAAAAATATTTAAATATATAAATTGTTTTAATTAGAAAAATTTAAAACTGAAATTATTTCTCTTTAATTAATTAAAATGAAAAAAAAAGTATTTAACATTTTGAGATATATAAAATGATATAGGAAAACTGAAATTTTTTTTATTTTCTATGAAATCTCTAAATTAGGAAATAAATAAATAGATCTAATTTTAAATATTCCTAGAAAATATATAATAATTTATTTAAAAGTTAAAATATGTATGAAATTCTAACTAATATAATAATAATTTTGCAATAATAATATGATAAAAAGAACATTTAACAAAAAATAATGAAAGAAATAAAAAGTGGAGAGGTTATAATTATTTTTTTTTTTAGAAATTAATTAAATGATATTTTTAACTGAACAGTAAAAATAAACTCTAAAAAATTAAAAAACAAAAATAAAATAAAAAAAAATTGCTTAGGTTTATTATCCACTTTATTATCCACTTTATCAGTTATGTGTTAAAAATATTTTGAAAATATATCTTGTAAAAATAAAAAAAATACTAAATAATACTATATTTTAACTAAGAAAACATTTTTATTTCACTATTTTTATTGTTTCTTACGATATTTTTTAAATAAAATTATATTGAACATACCATCTATGACAAAATTGAATTCTGAATAAACGATATAACTTTTTTTATCTTCTTGTTGTTTTTAAATAAAATACCAGATAACAATATATATGATGCAAATATATTTATACATTTTTTTTAATAATTATAGTTATAATAAATTCATAAATACAAAATAAAGAAAAAATTTTATTTCAATAATTATTAGAATCAGAATCTATTTTGACCAATCTTCTATTAAAATAATATTTTATTATTTTGAAATATATTTAAATAATAAAATTCAATATATAATAAAAAATTTTGTTAAAAAAATAAAAATACGAATAATATTCGTATAATAAAAACAATCAAATATTTTTAATAAGTCCGTATATACATGTTTCATATAAAATATAACCTTAACGTTATAACCTTAACGAAGATCATCGATTGATGTATTGTACTATATTTTTATATCAACAGAAACTCCAATGCATGCAAAAAATATCGTGAATAAATTCATTTTTTTTTTCATATTGTTAATCGAATTATTGCTATCACGAAAAGTTTCGATTAAAAAATGTTTTTTGCAAAATCTTCGTCCCGTTTTTGACCCCATTTCGCAAATTTCTTCCACATATTACATATAGTTGGCTTACTTTGTTCTACACCACGTTAAAAAGTTCTTTTAAGAAACCCGTAATGATTCTTCGGTATTCGTAAGTATCTTCACGCTATTGGTTGGATCGCAATTGTCGTTTGTATTCACGTGTAAACCTAATTTTGTAAGTCATCAACGCAGACTTGGCTATTTAAAAATTGTATTTGATTTACGACAAGCTGATCTTCAATGGCAAAAACATAACCTTAACAAATGCACACCATCGAAAAAGACGTGTTCAAGTTTCCGTTTGTTCCACTTTTAATTTTATTACAATGAATATTATAATTATGAAAGAAAAGAATATCAGAGATATTTTATGGACAAGACAAATATATATCAAATATTTTTATAAAAAATTTTTGAAATTGTTATAATACATCATAGATAAATTATAATAATTATTATATCTATAACAAGCTGAATTATGGAGATAAGACGATATCAAAATATATCAAATATAAAATATATCAAAATATATCAAATATATTTTTGCAAAGAAATAAAAAAAAAGAAGTTTGTGAAATTAAAAATATATATATACAGATACATTATAATTTTTTCTATAAAAAAGACAAACTATGGATGTTAATTTTTTTTTTTGCAAAGTAAAAAATTTGTGAAATTTTATAATATATGTAAATATATAATCAATATATATATATTAATATTATAAGTAACTATATATTATATACTCAATATTATAAGTAACTATAGTATATATATATATATAAGTATCAATATTATAAATATTTATGCATTTATCCAGACTTTAAATAGAAAAATCTACAGAATGCATATGATATAAAAAAGCACAAAATATTCAAAATATAATCTGCATTATGATATTTAAAGAATAAAGCAAATTTCTATAAAAAATATATTTTACAAATATCCGCAATCTAATTACTAATATTATAATATACTATGATACTAATATACTAAAATAGATGAATGTTAATCATATTTTTAAAATTGTTATAATAGATATCATATAGATCATATTATAATTATTTCTATAGAAAAAAATCTTTAAATATCAAATATATTTAAGCAGAAAAGTTTTGAAATTATTATAATATACTATAAACTTTAAAAGAAAAGAAATTTAGCTGGAAGTTAAATTGTCAAACATATTTTAGCAAAGAAATAGATAATTTTTTAAATTATTATAATTATACCATTGATTATATTATAATCATTATTATGAAAAAAAATATGTAAAAGACATCAAATACAAAAAATTAGAAAATGTTTTGAATTATATATATAGATATATATAGATATATAGATTGTATTTAGTTCCATAAAATATAAAAATCCTGAAAATATATTAATATAAGTCAAAATATATTACTAATTAAAAATTTGAAATTATATTTTTTTTCTTTTCATATTGAATTCCAATTTCTTTTTTTAATTTTAAATTAATTTGAAATTAATATTATAAACTTATGTATTATAATACATTTACTTTGATAAATTTTTAAAATAATTTTCCAAAATAATGAAATCCTAATTTATTTTTTAAATAGTTTAATTTTGATTTATGTAAAAGTTAATGATTTTAAATTTTTGATAGTGTAATTTTGCAAAGAAATAAAAAATTTTTGGAATTATACCAATTGTTATGCCTTATTCTCTTTATTTTTTTAAATATTTATATAATTTATGATATATTATATTATATTTATATTTTAAAGTGTCTATACTATAAAATACAACGATAATAATATATCTAACACAATACAAACCTAACCTCCAAGATCAAATTATCTATTTGCCAACGATATGAAGTGACAAGAATTCGATGCAAATATTGGATTAAATTAAAATATTTATCCATGGATTACTTGATTCATCACGTTTATAAAAAACTTAAAAAGAGCAAAAACATGTTCTCACATGCAAAGTTTTTTTTTTTTAAGATCCTCTGTCGATCCACGTTTCTTTATTCCGGCAAAACAACTTGTTCGATGATAATATGACAAATAGACGTATGGCAAACAGATCACATTTGTATAACCTTTACTTTCGTCTTTTCTAAAAAGAATGACCCGTTGTTAATCCCGTTTACAAATTTTGCACAAATACTTGCTTATAACTATCTATATTGTCTACATATTAATATAATATATANTTAGAAAATTATAAAATTAGAACTAATCTATTGTTTTAAAAATTTTTTTTAAATTTATTATAATTTATATCGTTATATTTTATTGTTAAAAGAAAAATACGAAGAATCAATAACACTTTAAACAGATAATAAAGATAATTTGAGTAGATAATTTGAATAGATAATCATCTTTTAATTTGATACAAATATTTATTTTATTATGACTTTTTACAAAATGTTTTCTAATATATTACATATTCCAATATATCGTAATGCATCAATAAAAATTTTAATAAAATTTTATTAAAGATGCAAAAATTATTATTAAATAATAATATTATTACTAAATTACTTATATATTTTATATGTTTATTAGTTATCTATTTTATTTATATTATAAAATAATATAAATATTGTAAAAAATATAAATATTAATAAATCATTATTAATTACAAACTTATATATTTATTAGCATTAAATGAAATTTATATTATAAAATAATAATAACATTATTAAAAATATATTAGAAATATAAATAAATCATTTTATTTATATAGAATTATATAGAATTATATACGTCATATATACGTTTATATATATGACATAGAATATTTTATATTTCTCATTTATTATTAATTAAATTGAAATTCCTATAAATATTTTATTAACATTTTACTAAACATAAAATATTCAATATTAAATTGTTCAATATTAAATCGATCAAAAATACTTATTATTTCTATCGTTATTAATTGGATTATCTATATTAATATATTTGTATTAATAAATTGAAATAATAAACTATAATATAATAATAATTAAAATATCTTATTCCAAAAAAATTATAATACATAATTTAATTATTTAAACTGTAACATAATAATAATAACTGGGTTAAATAATAATAATTGTATCATGCAAAATAGGTTAGAAAATATTATTCTAGAAAATTAGTAATTTTTTTTATACAACTTATCAAAGATATATGATTAACAGTATATTACAACTCTCATTAACATTTATATTACATTTTTTTTCTTTTCTCACGACCTAGTCTCATCCCTTCTCTTCCTTCCAACCTGTTCTTTCCATCAATCGGCGGAAGTCTCAATTTTACGAGGAATTTAAAGTTCATGGTGGGAGATTGAAAGATTGAGTTTTGGTGCTACTTGTATCAGCGGATCATCAGTTTTTGATTTGCTGTTTCTCGTACAACATCTCTTCTCTCGAGTGAACATTTCTCTTTTATAAAAATAAATCTTAATTTTATATATTCATATCGAAAAAGAAACCGGACGTTAAATGACTTAACCGCGCTATTTTAAAACGAAAATAGAAAGATTTTGATTCATCCTATCGAAACTGCTTGATACGAATTACAAAGATTTAAGGTGAATATTGATTAAATATATTTAAAATTGATTAAATATTTATATTTATGTGAAATGTGTGAAGTTCGATTCATTTAATATAATAAGTTTACATTCCGTGGATTTATAAATATGACATTTTATGTGTGAAGGAAGTTGTTTAAGTTAATAATGTTTTTAATTCACTTAACCCATTAAGAGTCAATATTATGTTAACACAACATTTAATTCATAATTTTTTTTTCTTTTTTTTTATTGATACATATAAATGTAGTATATTTTTTAATATTATAATAATTAAAATGAAAGAATTCTAAATTTTAAAAATTTGATCAATACTTTTTCCATTTTCATTTCTTTTTTTAAATAAAAATAACCATGTTCTAAAATTCTAAAAATTTAAATTATTTATTTAAACTAACATTAAAGTAGATTTTGGTAAATTATGTTTCTTACGTTTCTATTTTGTTTAATGGACTTTTTGTTTAATGGTATTCTTTATAATAATAAACTTCAAAATAGTATAAAGAAAATATTCTATCATGAGAAAATTACTGTTCAAAAATTGTTTTGACAGCATTTATATTTATTCCTATATATTTTAAATAATAAATAATAAATAATCATACATTTAAAAATTTCATTATTTTATTTTCTGAATGCTAATAGGTTAATTAGGTAGGTAGGTAGGTAGGTAAATTTTTAATTTTCTGTAATTTTAAATTTTCCTTATTTCAAGAAATAAATTTTACTTGTTTCAGTTTGAAAGAAGCAAAAATCAGCAAATATGTCGAATTTGATTCATCAAATGGTCAACAACTGCAATGAGCTTTTGGATACTAATAATAAAAATAATAAAGGTAAAATAATAAAAATAATATACACTAACTAGCAGGAAAATAATAAAAATTTATTAATTGAGTTTAACGAATATATTCTTCATGAAAATAAATGTATTATATTCTACTATTTCAAATGAAATTTTAGTGAAAAGTAAAATAAATGGTTCTAGAATATTTTAAGACAATACTGAAATAAAAAATTAAAAAATTTATTTTAAAAAAGTATAAATATTTGGTTAATATTATTGGAAAATATTTTAATTTTTAATGTTCAACTATTGTTTGTATTTGTTTTAACTATTTCAAATTTTTCTCAGTTCTGTAACTTATATATATATGTATATGTATAATAAAATTATTATACTGGATATTATATATTTATAAAATATTTTAAGAGGATCGATTCTGGTCAAAACAAACGTAAAAGTTGATATATAAAAATATGAGTTGATATTTATTTATTAAATTAAAAACAATTTAAATTACGCTAGGTAAAGAAAGACGGAAATAGTGAAACAGCTCTATCTTTACCATACTATTATTTCAATTTATATGTCTCGCTCCATCTAATGCAAAATTTACTTGCTTATAAATAACTTAATAATTAATATCAACTTTTGTATTTGTTTTAAATAGAATAGAATATTAAAATAGATTTATTAGAATAGATTCATAAAAATCTTATGAATATATTAATATGCTGTATAAACATTACAACAAATTATATATTATATTACATAATTATACATAAATATATATTTATTATATTTGATTATTATATTTCATTATCTTTCAAGATTAATTATGTATATATATTTATTTTTAAAACAAATTTGCAGAATCAACAATTTAAATAAGATATTTAACAACTTGCTTTATCAATAGGAAAAATTTTTATTATTCTATGATATTAGATATTAGATATTAATATAATTAATTAAATATTAATAATTTTTTAAATGAGAAATTACTTAAAATATTTAATTTCATTTATTCTAATTAATATAAATCATTTCTGAAAAACAAATATATATTCTTCGAATAAAAAATAAATTATGTATTTATACATAAATAAAAAAAAATATAAAACATAAAAACATTTTACATAAATATCGATGTAAATACAATTGAATTAAAAAGAAAAAAATATAATACAAATTATCAATTTAATCATGTAATCATTTTTTCAGAAATCATAATAGATACATGGCCCATGATGTATTCCCCAGGTCCTATATTATGCATCGTAGGCTGCTATCTAGCATTCGTTTTGAAAGTTGGACCGAAAATGATGGAGAAGAGGTCCCCTTTTCAATTGAATTTCTTGTTACTCGCTTACAACGTGATCCAAGTGATATTCAATATCTGGTTATCACTCAAAGTAATATTCATTAAAATAATAGATTTATTACAATAATTTATAATACAGTGTGTATTTTGTTTAGTTATTATTCTTTTATTAAATTTAATTAATAAGTTAAATGAATTCCATTTTTTTGAATCGTAAAATCAAAATTTATTAAAATTCATACATACGTCATTTACTGCAAAAAAATATGACATTTGAATACAATTATATGCAAAATTGTAAGAGATGTTATATTTCTGTAACAAATTAATTCTTTTTCAAAAAGTTTTATACAATTTAAAAATATATTTAAAAATCTAATATAAAATTAATTAGAAATAAATCTTCATTATAAAATTAATTAAAAATAGATTTTCACTTATTATTAATGGATTTTTCATTATTATTATTTGATAACATCTGGGACTATTTTCAATTTTCAAGAAAAGATCTCCATATTTTTCAGATACAAAATAAAGATTTTCAATATATATTTTCAATATATATTTTCCTTAGAATTTATATTTCATACTAATTCCATAAAGTCCGAGAAAAACTTTAAGATTGAAAATTTAAATCTGAAAACATTAAAATCTTTATATGTAATATTTTTGATCAATAGTATATCTATGAAAAATTTATTGACAATATATCAAAGAAATCATAAAAAAACTTTTAATAGAATATAAAAAACTCAAAATAAATAATGAAATAAAGCATATATCTTAAACATTTTTTTTTTGCATTAGAAACATTATTAAATACACACTTATTAAAATATTATTTTCATGCAAAAATCGATCGACAATGTTTAATTAATTAATTTTTAGAATAATCTCAAACAACTTTTTTCTTTACAAAAATTTTTATTTTAGCTTTATTATTAACGAGATATTAAAAATAAAAAATACTGATCAATACCAGCAAATCGCTAAGCTCGAAAAAAAAAATCGAAATATATATTTAAGCAATATTAGATTTATATAATGATTTAATTAGTATAATATAAAAGTATTTTATATGCTAATAAATAATAAGCAAAAATTATACTTTATTTATCAATTAGCTTTATTAAATAAAATTATTAGCTAAAAAATAATTAGAAAAAGAAGTTGTTTGAAATTATTTCAGAAATTAATTCACAATTAATTCTTGTCGATTGATTTTATATAGTTAATGAAATAAGTCATATATTCAAAAAATAAAAATGTATTATTATTCATAATATAATATATGTGTAATAAATAATAAATAAATAATGAATAATTAATTATTAGGATTTCTAGATCGCCTGCAGTTAATTAATCGTAGATTTTCAGATGCATTTTCATATTATAATAAATTTGTTTATAAAAATAATTAATTTTTTCAGATATGAAATAGCTATATTTTTATGATATATATTATACCTATAATTTAACAATATTATTATAATTTCATCTACTTGGATAATTATTTATCTGTTTTTAAACAGGCATTAGAACCCAGTGTGGTATCAATTTTATTATTACCTAAATGCCAAAATCCAACATCTCTGAATTTAAATACGAAAAATACGGTAAGTTTTTAGAAAAATACGAAACAATCAAATGAATTTCATGAAATACATTTTATGTAAAATAGATATCGTCAGCTGCCTGGTGGTATTTCATCGCAAAAATAATGGATCTTCTTGACACGGTAAGTTCAACACAGAATTAATTAGATATGAAATAGAATTGTTAGAAAAATTATTTCTGCTTTTAATTTTGAATGGAAGAAATATGAAATTTAAGTGAATTTTCTGAGAATATTAATAAATAGTTTTGTTTTTTTTAACTGAAATTTTATATTACTTATCAATAATTTTTCGTTATTGAGATAACTGTTTAATTTTTTATTATCGAAACATCTTTTTATTTTACATACCTAGTTAGTAAAATTATAGCAAAGAATATTTAATATAAGATAGTACAGAAAAAAAAATAAAAAGAATCATATCATTGAAAACATCATAAATGCAATAGAAATTGTTTTCTCCATATCTTATTAATCTTATTTCAAATAACTATTAATTAATTTTAGCAGTTATTTAGATAATAAATGATTAATATACTATTCTGTTTAAGAAAATGAAGCTATTTTTTTTGTTTTAGAAAATTCATTCTTAAAATCTCATTACAACATATGAAAATTCATTTGATCATTAATATGTAAAAAATTCAAATTGATATCTGCAGTGATTCCTATAAAAAATAACCTATAATATTCTATATGAAACATCTTAATGAATATAATATATCATATTATAACAAATTAAATCATATTCACAAAACTGATATTATTTTCTCATCAACTCACAGTATAATTTCTGTTCTTGTTTGCTCGAAGGTTTTCTTCATACTTCGAAAAAAACAAAATCAAGTGACATTTCTACATGTTTACCATCACACAATAACCTCAATATGCTCATGGTTGTATGTCAAATTCCTGCCAGGCCAACAAGGTGCTGTGATCATTTTCTTAAATTCTTTGGTACACGTCATCATGTATACGTATTATTTGATCTCCGCTTTGGGTCCTAAATACAAAAAATATCTTTGGTGGAAGAAATACATGACCTGGATTCAATTGGTAAAATTTTCTTTGAATAACCATATTTTATTTTTTAAAATTAATGCTCATATTAAGCATATATTTTTCATGCCAGGTGCAATTTTTCATATTACTCGCTTACGAATTGACAATTCTCGTTTTGGGCTGCAAAGTGCCAAAAGCTTTGTCGTGTTTTGTTTTGACCAATTTAGTGATTTTCATCTATTTATTCAGTGATTTTTATCGAAAAGCTTATGCGAAACAGAAAGTTTAATTTTTTTGAAGAATTATTGATTCGATGTTTTGTTGATAAAATAGTAACTGAATATACAATACATCATTTAATAATAAAAAAGAAAAAAAGTGTTTATGAAATAATGAGAAAAAAAAAGAAAAAAATAGAAAAAAGGAAAATGGAATTAATTAAAAAAAAAAAATGGAACGAAGTTTGTAATAAGAACATAAATACTAAATATTGAAGGAGCAGCTGCAGTTATGATTCGAGTTTCAACTGTGTTCTAGTGAGACAATTTCCAGGAATCAAAATTTATACTCTCGATATAACGGGTTCCTTCCAAATTTAGGTCAGTGACATCCGTTATTTGGAGAGAGAATGACATAAAAGGAGGTTTGTCAAGTGGCCGAAGAAAAAAATATCTGTAATGAAGTCTAGATCAAACTCAAATCGCTTCTTTGCTTTCGAAACAAGATGGATTAAAATTGAGAAAAAAAGTTATATAAAAAAAAAAATTATCTAAGTCGTTAACATATACATATTTTGGAGAATGGTAATTGCTTTTTTTTTTATATACATATTTTATATATATTTTTAACAAATTCTTGTTAAAGATAATCTTTTTATTTTACATCTTGATAATAATTCGAAATAAATTAAAAAATAGTTATGTTTTTTTCGAATTTATACTATAAAATTTTTGTTTATTTTTGTATTGGAATTGAATTTGTTTTTGAAAATAATTTTCATATTATTTCCAATATCATAACCTATTTTATCGAAAATATCTATCTAATAAGTTAAAATGAATTTAAATATTATTTTTTTTTTTTTTTTTTGTAAAAATTGTATACTTATACAAAATAAATTAATATTTATTGCATAATTTTTAGATATAATAATATATTAGATTATAAAATGTGATATGTAATGAGATATATTAATGAAAAATTATTTTATTGATTCGATCGAAAACTATAATAATAATTTTTGATTTTTGAATGAATCAATGAATTTTAAGCAAATATTTGTTATGTATAGAATAAACAAAAATGTTAATGTTAGTTAATTAATTTATAGATCGCAAATGTACATTTGAACATGTAAATACACGAAATATTATTTACTCAAATATTTCGATACAGTGACAAAGAAAGGACTCTGATTTCGATTTTAAAACAAATTTAGAATAATATTCCTTCTAAATAAGCGATCATTTTCAAATATGTATTATGATACATATTCTTCAATTCTATGTACATTTTATTTTTTAAATAAAAAAAAATCTTATGAATTTTATAGAGAAATAGATTAATTTATTTTGTTCTAAAAATTTTAGATATTGAAAAAATTGTTTATCTATTATGTATTATTATATTCTATTATTATGCTGACATTTTCAAAATGCTATATAAAAAATTTTAATTAAAAAGAGTAATAGCTTTTTCAATTTAGAAAATAATTTTTCCCTTTTATAGAGATAAATATTTAAAATTTATTTAAATGTAAATTATTTGCAATCTATTTGCAGTTATAATATCAGAAATTTTTATTTTATTATTAAATTTTATCAATAATTACAAAGGAAATGTATGATAATGCATGATAAATTATGAATATTTTTACAATTATAAAAATTATAAATAATTAAATAATATAATTTGCATAAATTATATAAAACACTTTAAAAATAATGAATCATCAGTATCAGAAATTAGAGTCCTCTCATTGTGACATGTTTTTTTTTTCCTTTTTTCTTTTTCCTTGAAAAATGGTAATGCTAATGATATTATATAGTAAATAAATACAAAATTTTAATTTTGCAAAAAAGACTTAATAAAATTCATCAATGAATAGTTTCTTTTTCCTAAATAATTCTTTCTTAAAGTATAATTTTTTACAGTCAAATAATAAATATTGTAGAATTATTTTTGTAAAGATTCATGAGAAATTGCATGACAATGAACAAATTATTTCTATGTGGCGCACTATAATTTATTTTCTATTTCAACTAGAAAACTACAATAAATTCAACTTTTCATATTTAAAATTATTAAATTTAAATTTTAAATTAAAATTATAAATTTATTTAAATTATAAAATTTTATGAAATGTTTAATCAATTTCAAATGAGTTAACATAACAAACTTATTTTTTTTGAATTTATTAAACTTTAATTTTATTCATGATTATATAAGATAGATTGACATAAAATTAAAACGTAAATATAACTTTTTAAAAATACTTTTAATTATATTAACAGATGTTTCATAAGAATATTCTATTTTCTTTGTTTTTTTCTAGTTTAGAATTTTGCAGCAAAGGGAAGACAGATTCAATGATAACAATCAGGATTAAGAAAAATAAGAGACAATTTAACGCAGAATCGAGAAATGCGACAATTAATCGAAAATTATTGTATTTGATTATATATTATAGAATTAAATTTTGGATTAAATCTTGGAAAGTGATATACTGTAGTGAACAAAAGGTTAATAATTATTAATATATATTTATACATTCGTTAAATATATAATAACTCAAAAATGAATGTATTTCTTTTTGCTATAAGATCATGAATCGTAAGGAAATTTCAAATCCATTTCTCTTCAAGAATTGTTTTATACAAATTAAAGAAAGTTGGCCATAATTTGATAACCTAACCTCCTCGATTGTGAGAAACGATATTACTGCAGTAGATGATTAATCAGAAATAATTGATATGTATTTTTAATTTTCAAATATACACTTGAAACAAGAATATTTGATTGTCTTTGTGTTATACTATATATTATTAAATATTTTACATAAAATATTTTATAAGATAAATATAGTATGATAGTGAAAGATTAAATAATAGTACAATTAATGGTAAATTATATTATTTAAACATTATATGTATATTGATATAAGAGTGAAAAATCATTATTTGTATAATTTAAAAATTTTTAATAATTGAAAGTATGCCGGTAATTTTTAATCAATATATTTAAGATTTTTGCATATAAATTAAAAGAAAATAATTTTGAATATTTTTTTTTTTTAAAAACATCACAAATAAATTTTTTTATTTGAATTGTGATATATTTTTCACATATTTTTTTATTTATAATATATGGAAATAGGAATACAAAATTCTTTTTTATATGTTATTAAATATTTTTTTATACTTATTTTATTTACACATTTGCAATACAAATAAAAAAAAATATTATTTTTCTTTCTTTTTTATAAATCAATTAGAAATCTATACTTTTTTATCAGAAATAATATATATTGTATAGAATATTAGTTTGTATGTATCATAAGATAAAAATAATTGAAAAGCTTTGTATAAACAATAGAAATTTAGATATTATGAAAGAACAATTTTAGATTTTTACCATTGTTTATTATCTAAATAAATACAAAGATTAAAATTGATAATTAACTATGAAATTATGAATTTCGTTAATGAAAATTAATTGAAATAAATGAGATTTCCAAATTGTTTTATAAATTCCAGTTTACTATATACATTTGTGATTTAATATCTATAATATAATTTTCATTTAGTAATCATTAAACACTATTTTCTGTATTAATTTATAAAACATTTAAATAATTTTCACGGATATTTATGGTTTTAAATAATTATTATAATTATTTTTGAGTTGGCAGCAAAAAAACATTGCTTCTGTGAAAGAGAAAACAAAAGAGAGTATAATAGAATATTCATATAACATGAATTTCAGAAATTATGTTCTTATATTCAATTGTAATAACTACTTAATTTACATAATTAATTTCAAAAGAATACATTATATTTAATATATTACAATATTAATATTATTATTACATATAATACAATATTATTATTATAATACATATAATACAATATTTTATATTTAAATTTAGATAAAAGTAAAATATTTCATAGAATATAGAATACCACATTTATAAAAAAAATTTATAAATAATAGCATATGAATTATTTAAAATTGTTCATGTTAGAATTAAAAATTGATATAACATTTCCACCTCATCATTGATATAACATTCCACCTTTCTCAATATAATTAATGTGTAAGTTCAAATACTTGTTCGATGATAATCTGCAAATAATCAAGGAGAAACTATCTTTCATAAACAAATATTTCTTATATTTTCTATATAAGATAAAAAAACAAATTCATTCCTTTGATTTCTCTTGTAGAAGCAAAAAATATTTTCAAATAACCTTGGAGTTGACAATGTACAATCAATCCATAATATGTGACATAACATGTCATAATACATCAGAAACACACTAGAAGCACAGTCATTATCAACAATTTCAAACATTAAACGTTTGATTATTTTGACTGAATTTAATTAATTCGGTATTTCGATAAATGGCGATATTTCGATTTTTTATATTCATGTTTCTTCTTTCAGAAGTTCCAGCCTAGTCAACTTTTCTTCTTTCGTATTGCATGCTTCCATTTGACACTGTCTTTGCTATCTTGGTCTCCTTGTCTTGCATAAGTTTTGAATGTTTCTCATTCGATTTGTATGCGTTATTGTAGAAATCGGAGAACAGGAAGTAGAAGAATACCGCGTTAGGTAGAATTAAGATGAGCGACCACTTTGGATAGTCGCAGTCATAAAACAGCAATTGACAACTATGCAGAAATGCTAGGCAGAATTGACCCTATTTGATATAAAAGAAAAATTTTAATTTGGTTGTTATACAATGATTCTTGTTAATATTTAGACATAATGTAAGACTATTTTTTTATATAGAATGTTAATACGATATATTTTTATATATAATTATTGTTTCTAGACATCAAAACACAGAAATCGGTATATAAAAATATGTAAGCAATTAAGGTTTAATTATTAGTAATGTGAATTTGCATTACTACGAAGTAAGATAAAAATGGTTCTATATATCTATATATCATGCGCGCCATTGTGTAACATATATTTTACAAATATATTCAAAAAAATTAAAAAATATTGATACACAATTGGCATTAAAGAATAAATATAATAATAAATTTCACCATTTGAAGAGTTGTAATATATTTCTTCCACCATAGGTACTTTTGGTATTGAGGTAATAAAGCAGCCAATAAATAATACGTGTACATAATTATGTGCACGAAACTGTTAATGACACCTGAAAAAAAAAACGATACGGATATTATTGAATCGAAGATAATACCAGAGAAAATATAAATTGTACATACCTATAAACGTGCCATGTCCACCCGGATAATACTTAGTGGCACCCCACGAAACCATTGGCATAACAGTATGATGATACAAATGGAGAAACGTAATTTGATTTTCTTTTTTCCTTAGAACGAAGAATACTGTGTCTAAAAGTTCCGAAAGCTTTGCTAGAAAATAAATATACACGCCTCTAGCGACCTATAATAAAGTATAAAATCATTAAAAAATTTATATAAAATTAAATATTGTTTGTACGAAATTAATTCTTTCGATCTATCGACAAAATCATTTTAATCTCTATTTCTACTTTTACTATTAAATATAGCTCAATTCTTCTCCAGACAAGAAGAATGCGTGGCAAGCCAAGCAAATATACAAGAAATTCCGAAATCATGATGAAATCAAAAAAGAAACGATTCTTGACAAATAAATATCTCTTGGATGCACTCAAGTTCGAATTTTCAAATCTCATTTTCTCGAAAAAGAAAACTCATATCACAAAAAAATTTTTATTCTACTCTTTCGATTCAATTTTAGATCATCTCCCCTTCAATTATTGATTTTTTTCATATTTAAAAGAAAATTAAAATAAAAATTCTATACAATTTTGCAATGCAATAACGAAAATATAAATAAAAAATCGAGCAATAAATTTATATTAATATAATAATATGTAATAATTTTACTATTATAAATTTATTATTAATTTACGAGTAATAAAATTAGTAAGTAAAAAAATATATCGTATAATCTGTTAATGTTATTGCAGGGTTGAATGAAGGTAGATAAAAAAATATAGAACGAATAGAAGAAATAAAAAGGAAATGGCGATACCCTGAGTGCTTCCGGTGAGTTCGAATAATCGACGGATTGGCATTTCCAACTATATTTTCGCAGCCAAGCTGCGTCCAAACCTTCGTAGAACAGCCAGAAGCTGAGAAGGACTTGTAAGAAATTGTAACAGACTAGAATATTCTTTAATTGATATGGTTTCCTATGCTGCATGTGCTTCGGGCCCCATGACAGAATAAAGTACAAATAACCGATTAAGATGCTAGTTCCAGGTACGGGTGATGGTATGAGGAACCAATCTCTTGTTCGAGGATCTGAAATGAAAAAAATCAAAGAATTATAATACATATAAAATTTCAAAAGAAAAAAAAAAATTGGAGAATTATTTCCCACCGGATAGATCGTAGAACACATGATGGTAAAATCGAACCATCGAGTTGTTGTAGATATTCGACATCCTGTCGATGTGAGGTGTGCTGCTGACATTCATTGAAAGTTTGACTGAAACAAGTAAAAATATGATATAAAATTTGTTTCAAAATTTAACTTATTTCTTTAATTTTTAGATTAATTATCCATATAATATATATATATATATATAATTAAATCTATTGCAGAAAAATTATTGGAATTAATATATACAATTATCTTTAAAAATAATTAAATGTATATTTCTGGCTGAATAAAAATCGATATTGACTCAAATGGATTTACGAAGGTAAAGAATTTGAAATTATTTAGATTAATTTGATTTAATTTATTTATCTAGTTCTCTATTTTTCTAGTAAATCAACATTCTTATATATATATATATATATATATAACAGCACAAAAATATAAAGTATATATATTATTTCTTAAATATTATTACTTCATTTTTATAATCATCAAATTCAATTAATATGAAAGTATTATTCAATATACGTAGATTTAATTAATTAGCATGTAAATGTTATAACAAGTATAACAATATGCAAATACTTGTTGTGACCATAGTATATACATTTATATATACGAAAACTCGATAGTCTTGATTTCATGCACGATTTGATGCATAGCGGAAAAATGAAAGAAAAAACAGAACGCTCGATTTCGCAGTCCTTAATGATAATGTTTAACCAGTTTGCACAATGGTAATGTAACACATGTGGTAAAAAATTGGTGTCATTTTTTTTATTCGCATGTCAAATTCTTTTTTTTTTTTTTTTTTTAATTCTATGTTGGCGCTATATTAAATTTCAGTCAACAGTTGATGTACATAATATTCATTTATTTTGATAATATAAAATGATGATTTATTAATATTAAGATATTTTAATCCTAACTTGCAAATTTGATTTGATTATATTAAATATTCCAAATTACCAGATCTTTATATTTACGACAATTTTGCAATAAAACAATAACAAAAATGAGCACTCTATTAAAAAAACTTCCATATATATATATATAAAAGTAAGTCATTGCAAAGTTAATACCAATCTAGGCAATTTTCTTTTTATCGTAACGGCTTTCAAATAAATTAGTGGAGAAATAAATAAATAAAAAAAAAAAAAAAAAAAAGGAGGTCAAATATTGGCTATCCACGTACAAATTAAGAACAAAAGTGAAATACCTCTTTCTACTCTTTGTTCATTCCTATTACCCTATTAGCCTGCACTAACATAACCGTATCCATTGTGCAAACCTGTCAAATATTACAATTGCTCATAAAATTTAACGCGTAAACTTTTCTTCTCGAAACCAACTGAAATAGATCACTCTCTATCTCTTACTGTGGTGATAATAACAGTTCAGGCAAGGACACTTTAGGCACAAGTGATCTACACCCCTTTCAAAATGGCAAAACTTAAACGGTTTGCATTTTTATTGAGCCTGTGTGATTTAGCCATGGAAAAGTGAATGGTGATACCTTTGTCAAGACCAATATTTTTATATCCGTTTACAGAATCAACGATTGCACATGAACAAAATCTTTTATGATATACACAGTGTGGCAACAAAATAATGGAAATAATGATAAAATAAGTAATAATTTATTACACATGGAAAATGGGGAAAATTGTTATTTTTTTCTTGGAGGATTCTTCAAGCTCAAAAAAAAAAAAAATGTATTCAGAATTATGAGTATAGAATAGTGAAGTGTAACGTTTTTGTAACTGGATTTTTGTATGCATGCATAAAATATATATGATTTGAATTATCTTTAATAATTAAGGAGGAAACGTTTTAATGAAGTTCACTGATTATAAGTGTAAGAATTTATTAGACCATGAGAATTTTACATCACTACTCACTTCGGAGAAAGTGAGTTAATTAATTGTACGCTTGAGCGGTTTCATTGATTAAAATATTTTAATCTTCCATGTTTCAGATATTTAAAAAAAAAAAAAAAATCGTGTAAAAACATTACATCTTCATATAACACGTAAGCTTAATTTTTATATATATATTTATAACTTTTCCGCTTATTTTAATCTCTGGAATCGATCCTTCAAAAGTGTTCCATGAACGTATCGATTAAGTGAATTAATCACACGCTTAACGAACTAGAATAATTCATTGCGTATTCTTTTGTGTATCTTTATATTAATATAAAGATTTCCGTGCATAATTCGTTTTTATTTATTGGTAAAAATTTGTGTATTCTAGAGAATGAAGTAAAATGCATAAAATATATCAATATGATACAATAGAAGAACGAAAATTCCTCGAAAGAATCGAGTCAATGACCGAGCGTCATAAACTTAGCATTGCTTCCCATAATGAAAGGTTGTTTATTTTGCCTTTCTCGTAATAAACGAATCTTAATCGTGTCAATTTTTCTTTTTCTTCCTTTCTTTTCCGTTTTTTTTTTCTCTTTCTCTCCAGTAATATCTCTTTAAAATTTGCAATGTAATAATGTTAATACAATATGAATGACTCATAAAAATAGGAACGTGACGATCTGATAAGCCACTTTATGTATTTTACACGATAAAAACTCTTAGCTTAGATTAATTTTAATTTGATTTAAATTCCTTATAGAGATATTCTTATTTTTGGATTAATCAGAATTAACGCTGATATAATAAAATGACAAGAAAAATTATTTTTTCGTTTCTTCTTTGGAAGAGTCTTGAGAGATTGAAATATCAAAATTTAAAAAACGTGTATCGACGAACTAAGGAGGAAAAAATTCTTTAAAGTTTTTTAAAATCTTTCGTTAATCGAATGTTTATTTAACATCGAAGAAGATATAGAAAAAAAAAAATTCTTTAAACTTCCTAAATCACTTTATCTTAATAAAATAACCATTTATGTACAAGAAACATCATCATTAATAATCCCATTATATTTTACATGTATAAGATAATTTGAATGTACAAACGTTGGCTGGCACAAGGCCACATTTCAAAATTCAACGAGTTATTATTAAACATAAAAAAATATCGTTTAAATGAGGAATTTCTCCTCACTTTTGGTCCTTGTATAAACAAAAAGCGTCGCACTTTGCCATTTTGCGCAACTTGATTTCACTTGTCCTCTCTGTTTTGAAATTGCCCGTCGAAATTGTCAACATCGCAACAACTTTGTACCAAATTTATTTTTTCTATTAGAAGGATATAGCGAGAGACACAATGGATATTTCGATTTTTCCACTACTCCCTCTTTATCTTTTTTTATTATTTATATTTTTATTATTGTTTTTATTATTTACGTTTTAAACATAAATAAGATGAATGACATTTCGAATCGAACAATCAATTCTCGTTTCAATTGTGCGCTTGATGCTCGTATTCCTTTAACCGCAAAACGTGTTTTCCTGTGTGTAAAAATAACGTGAATACTTCGTGAAAAAACAGATTGAATATTATTGAACTGCGAATTTTTACAGAATTTTTAGAGTCAAGAGAAGATTAAATATTTTACGTTATATCGTTTAAAAAGAAACATATGCCAAATTATTTAAAATCATACAATATTTATATTTATCAGTGATTTTATTATTTGGATCATATTTGCATCATAATGTTATAATATGAAGATAAGCAAAAGACAAAGTGAATACAAAATTTGCTACGCAAAACTTTGAAAGGTTTATCACTACTATCTTTAAAAAATTTTATCTAATGAAAATTTAAATTGCTTAATAAAAATAAGCCAAGACAACTTTTGTGCTCCAGAATCAATTCCTCCAAAAATGTTTAAAGTGATATGATTATAAATTATAGAAGATTATTATTATAATTATTAATATTTGATTTTTTGTTCACTTAATAAAATTCAAAGAAAAAAAAAAAAGAAGCAAGATCAATTTTATATCTAGTTTCTTTTGGACAGATTCTGAATATCGTGTTATCATTCGAACGCTTGAAGAGCGTTAAAAATAAAATCTTTTACTTCAGGAATAGTAATTATTATTTTAAATCGTGTTGGTGATTCAGGATTATTATTAATAATATGTTTTGTAGCTTGTTTTGGAAGATGAAATTTAATATTATATAGAGTAAATGAATATATAATAATTTTTTTATTATTATTATTAATTATTATTATTAATTTTTTATTATTTATTATTAATAGTTTTTACTAAAAGAGTTTAAATTCCTTTTTCAACTCGATTACCAATAGCAATAATAGCTCCAACATCAGTTTCATCATTAGTTCATTCTTCAACTTTAGTGTTATCATTCGAACGCTTGAAGAAAGTGATCAATTTCTATCCAATATTCGCTTTCCCGATCGTTTAATACGAGCGTTGCAATCAACCATATCTGTTAACAATAATCAATTCTGTAATCGATGTACGCACTTTTAATAAATAATTTCTTAAAAAAAAAGTTTGTATCGTTATAATATATCGTGAAGATTGTTAAAAAAAAGATACGAGTTTTAACTATAATTTTCCTACTATTTTTCCTAACCTAACCTCAAATTTATTTCTTGTCTTTGGATCGTATGATTTAAATTAAACTTTCGATGCTTTTTCGAACGTGACTCTAAATTTACAAAACATTGCAGAATTCTTTTATTTCTTAATTTTCATTTAATTTCTATTTCGATTTTTCTCTATACAATTGTTACAATTAATTTACAACATACACAAAATTTTTGGATTATTCAAGCCTCGTTTCCTTCCACTATGACGGAGAAAAACCTTCAACTCAATGTTTTTAACCCTCGCCGTACATCTCTCCCGCTCTGACGGAATCGTTCGAGTTACGGTTCGAAAATTTGCGGTCGCCAAGCCAAAAGAACGCGAGATGGAAATGGGAAATCGGCGCGCGGTTTACCTTTCCCTCGCGATCTTTCTTACCCACGATTGTGCATTTAACTTCGAAAATAAAATCTTTGCGAAAATTTCGAATGTTCCACGTGATAAGCAATGAAACTTTTTTTTTTTTTTTTTTTTTTTTTTTTTCAAGAATTCAGATCTCACGTGAAGATCTAAATTCTTCGATTTTCCGCTTCGACGTGACTATTTCACGACGATTCATCTTCGTTGATGTTTGCGCAAGTTCCTTCCAAGCGTGTGTTACGATCGAATACGGTTGGAAGACCGTATTGCGGCAATGCGCTTTGGAAAGTGAATGCGGAGGAAAAATCGGATACTTGATTTAAATGAGACGTCGAACGTAAAACTTCGCTCGGATAAAATCAAAGATTGTTTAAAAGATTTTATTCTTTGTTACAGTGTCGTTCTTAATTGAAGATATTTGAAAGATCGAACACTGGATGATTGTTAATCATATTTAAAAATTTTAAACTGTATCATCGTATTTTATGATCATCGATCTTCTTTGGACAAACAGAATTGAATTAAATGTTTTATATACATGATGCTCTTTGCAATTGCTATTCGTGTAACATAATTATTGGATTCTTGGAAGTGGATAACATTTTTTGGAAATGAAAAATTAAAGAATGTCTTTTATTACATATAAGAATTCTTAATCGAATTAAAAATGATTCATTCACAGATATTTTAGATATTTTATATATCTATAATCTAGGAAGAGAATAGAAGTAATAAAATTCTTATGAAATGTTTGCAAATAGCAATGCAAATACAGAAATCTAAAACTGAATACAAAATGCGTGTAAGAGTTTTGATGAGTTTCATTGCTAATGGATTGAACAACTATTGTATATATATTTATAAAAAAAGAAAAATGTATATATATATATATACATTTACAGATATGCAATGTAAATCATTTCGAATAATTCATAAATTATTTATTGTATGGAGAAACGATGTAGAATGAAGGATAATTTGATGTTGTTAATTTTTTCGTAGATTAACATATAGAGGATATAAATGGGTCAATTTTGTTATATATAAAGTTTTTTTAAAAATTATAACAAAAGATAATAAAAATAAAATTAGAAAACTTACAGTGTCTGTAAATAATAAATTTATACATTTATCCAATGAAAATTGATAAAATTTTTAATTTTAAAATACGCTAAATTAAGTATAAATAAGTGAACTCTTTGTATATATTAAAGAACTTAAAATTAAAACTTCATCCCGTAAAATTTTCCTGAAATTTTCCTCCTCGATTTTTTCAGACATGTCTGTCGTAAACATTTGTCTTCAAAGATTTATATCCTCGAGATATATCAACGTTAACAGGCATTCATTCTTTTATTCAAAATATATTATTCAATGAACGATGCATAATAATCGTGATCTCTATTTGACCCTTTATCCGTCCATTTTGCATCACAACGAAATAAACGAGATTTCTCATTTGTAAACTATCGCCTTTTTTACTGCCTTTTAACTCTTTTAACTTAAAATCAACCTATTCATTCATATATATTTCAAACTCAAATTATTCCTTATTCATATTTTGTGTTGTTTATTCTTCTGTATTTTTCTCAATTACGTATAATAAATAACTCAATTAACTCATATAATTAATAATTCATTCGGTAATTCATAATTCACAATTTATAATTCATAATAATTTATTCAGCAAATATAATAATTTATATAATCTATTAATTAACAAAGAAAATAATTATTCTTAAAACTATTAACACTGCAACATTCTTTTCACAATATTCATTTCCTGAAATATATTTCATTATATTATAAAACAGACATCCTGTATATTTTTTTATCACAAAAGAAAGGATAAAATTTAATATTTAAAGGCATCTACACTTACAAAACCAATATAAATATTCCTTAATCCCCGAAAATTAATCAAAAATTATCAAAATTTTTTATTATCAAAGATTAAACTCCTTCACAGGTTGAGAACCACTGTTCCAATCGATCGTGCGACGTATTATTCCTCAAATGATACATCCGCTACGCTTTCTTCACGTCAGTTATTTTTTTTTTTTTTTTTTTTTTTTTTTTTTTCTATCCACGAATAAGTATATACGAGGAAAAGATGATCACGCGAGGGCACGCGAACATTCTATGCCATTGGCAATGAGGTAAGGACAAGGCAACATGGCGGCTGTTTTGCGCGCGAATTTTGATTCTTACGCAAGCGTAATCACGTTTAATACGTGGAAATATCCGATACAGAGAAAGTAGGAAGTAAATAGAGTATATTGATTTGAAACTCAGTATCCGGAATGATTAATTTATCATGAAGAATTCCGTTTTACGTAACTTTTACATCGAAGTTGAATCTGGCGAAGGAAGTACGAATTGATTATGTAAGGAGGAAATAATTGTACGTACGTATTTCGGAATTAGAAATAACAATCTTTTCTTCAAAATATTCTTCTTTAAAACTTGCTAAATTTTAAACATAGATTTATTAATATTGA